AAACCCTTGGAAGTCTCCTCCCAGCTGGGCGAGTTTCCCAGGGAACATATCGGCCCACACCTCACGTTAGCCCTTCAAACTAACTTTAGCGTATGGCCTTCTCCTGTCGCAATAAATCCCCATTGCCCGTGTACTCCGAAGTAGAGCGCCAAAACGATTAGGCGCTCTCCCTGTCACTAGGAATAAATGACCACCAGTCAAGTATAGTTACGCCTAGTTACGCCTGTTTAAAGCAACTCATATAAAAACCCTCCCTTAGAAAACACAGGGTCTTAGATCATCTTATCTTCTCCCTTTCTAATTTCCGACGTGTCGTGCGGCTTATACATATACTAGCCGTTGTAGCCATATAGTTAGCCACACCGAGTAGAACCTTTACGTGTTTTCTTCGAGCTATTTAAACGTCGATCACCTGATTTGTGCGCAAGTGAATAAAGACCATAAGTAGTGTTTCATTTCTTCTATCTCGTGATTAATTTATTCGCCTTGCGCTGCATCGGACACATCGACACCTTGGCTGACGATCCCCTTCAAACAGGCAACTATTCACGCCAGCACGATAACGAACAGGGTAATACACAACGCAAGAACAATAACACCATCAAGCAACGCCTATACGATCGCGAAGCTACACGGGACACGTACAGAAGTAGAACACCTGTACATTATTGGTGCCGTGACCAGGATCGTGCGGAAGGGAAAGTCAGCGGCGAGAGAGGGGACAGAAAGTAAAAGTAAGTGTTGATAAGAAACAGATGCCGCTAGAAGAGCCGTCCAGCAACCAGCGGAGCAGCGTAACGGCGAACCATTCAGAGCTATCAAACCTGGAGCGCTAGAAGCATCATCAGCGTCAGCGTAGCGTCAACGTCGGCAGAAGCAGCATCATCATCGTGAAGAGATCGTCGGCGTCAGCATCAACAGCAACAGCCGCGACGGTTGCCTTGCCATCGTCAACGTCGACTGCAGCAGCGGTAACAGTAACAGCCACGACGTCCGTTTAGCCATCGTCAACGTCGACTGCAATACCGTCAACAGCAGCAGCGGCCCATCGCCATAGGAACTGAGACTATAGCAATGCGTATATGCACACGAACACGCTGAAGCTATTCCTAGCGAAGAAGTGACCTCGCGGCAGCGGCAGCGCAGCCAGCGCTGGTACAGCGTAGCATGGACGCCGTGTCATGTAAGTACAACACTCATTAGTGCTCAGCTTGACGTAATGTAAAATGAATAGTAATTTTTAATATCGAGTAAGCCGTCATGCAGCTTATTGCCTAATCCTACCCCGCTATGAAGCCCACCACTACTGCCTTTCCATCACCTTGAACCCCCAATGACACAGTGAAGTTGAAGCGAAACTAAAAAGCGAAGATCCGATGCCGGAGTTTAAACGGAAGTTGGAAGAGGAAAAGGAAACGGAGGAGGAGGACTCTTCGAATTCACGTGGCTTCGCACAAGGACTCCGACCAGAGCGCATCATCGGCGCAACCGAGTCCAGCGGAGAGCTCATGTTTTTGATGAAGTGGGAAGGTAGCAATAAGGTAAATTGGGTCCCAGCCCGGCAAGCAAATATTAAATGCCCCCAAGTTGTAATCAGATTCTACGAAGAGAGAATAACCTGGCGCACGAATGATGAAGAACAAATTGAGGCATAACTGCGATCATAACTGCAACAGCAAGCAAACGGCATGATCAAGGCGCAGCGATCAAGCCGCCATTGCAATCACGCTACTATGTACCATATGCGTAGCCGCCACCGCGGCGGATGCAGATTCAACCAGCGACGCGGAGGCAGTCTACACGCTCTGCCTACCAAAATAGCACGCCGTGGCAGCAGCAGCAGCGAGGCAGCCACGGAGATGCAGCCATTCAAACAGTTTGAAAAGATAGATATTCTCTTAATAGGCCTATCTAGTAGTTAGACTTTTCCTGTGTAACAGGTATATATAATGTGTGAAGGAGGCGGGACGTACAACATGCAAGTGTACTGTCAACAACATGCAAACAGGCACGTACGTCAGTGACCGCAGGCAACCCATGCAAGGACGAAGACGTCGCTATATAGCCACAAAGGGGATCACACACCAAAGGCTACGAAGCAACCGCAGCCGCCAATGTCGTGTGCAGAGGATCCTGTGCACAAGGATTCATCTGCAAGTGACCTTGAGGCTCAGGGGCCGATGACGCAATCATCTACACCCCGGCGGAGGCAGAGAGTACAGCCACAAGCCTTGACATGGAAGAAAATTTGATGTAGGGTACGGACGGTGCACAAGATTCACAACCGTCCAGGAAAAGAAAAGTAGACGGGAATAAATCAGATTTCCAAGTAGAGACAGTGCTAACTGCACAGGGAAAGATAAATGTTATAACAACGGCAGTGTAGCGAGCAGAGCTAACTGCACACGGAAAGATAAATGTTATAACAACGGCAGTGTAGCGAGCAGTACTAACTGCACAGGGAAAGGTAAATGTTATAACAACGGCAGTGTAGCGAGCAGAGCTAACTGCACAGGGAAAGGTAAATGTTATAACAACGGCAGTGTAGCGAGTAGAGCTAACTGCACATGAACAGATAAATGTTATAACAACGGCAGTGTAGCGAGTAGAGCTAACTGCACATAAAGACAACGACGAGGAAGATGGGATAACGACGAACGTTGAGAGATTTACTATATCTCCTTCCATTGTGCCCCTACCCTACCACTCCGCCCCCTTCGTGAAGGCTTGAAATTAGCGCTACGCGTAAAGTTAGCACTGAGCACGCATGTGAGTGTTGTACGCGCATGTTTCACGGGGAACGCGAGAAGTGAATACGATGATCATTGGTTATGATTATGATTTTATCACTGTTGTACATGCATGCGATTCGGTTATGACTACCAAGATGATCATTGATTATGATTATCACTGTTGTAGCCGCATGCAATTTGAGTGTTGTACGCGCGATTTTAACGTTCAACGCGAGTATGGCCATACGACGATCATGACTTATGATTATTATTGCGTTATTCAGAGGTTTCTTTTTGGAACGGCGGATCAGGAAGATATCGATCGCCTGAATTCAAGAATTTCTCAATTCGAGTTGTCTCAAGAGGCCTTCCAGCATGCATTGGAGGATAGCCTCACAGTATTTAATCTCACGCGCACGCAGGTACAGCTGAATAGACAAACCCTTAACAAGCTCATTAATGGTACAAATATTCTGCGAAAATATTTGAATAGAGTCAATAACCGGCTGGACCGGCTTGCGACTTCAACCAGCAATCAGCTGCGAATTTTCGCACAACTTCAGTCCACAGTGGACGCGATAGAAATGGCATTGGGTGACGTTACAAACGTCATAACAACTATGGAACATGCACTCAGCGATCTGTTGGCAGGAACCTTGCCCATATCCTTGATACCTCCGGCACAGCTAAGAGATTTATTGCGTAGCATCAAGGACACTGTACCGGATTATTTGGCTCTACCAAGAGATATCGAGGGAGGTATCCTGTACTATTATGATTTACTCAAAACGGTTGTTGTTCCCACCGCAACATCCTTTCACATAGTCACCTTTCTGCCGTTGAAACACATCGGGCAAGTTTTTGATGTTTATGAACTTCTGCCAACTCCAGTATTTATTCCAAATTCAACTGCCCACGTTTATTATGACATCAAGCCGCAGTACGTGGCTTTCGCGCAAAACAGGGCGCGGTATTTCTACCCTAAAACAGATCGCATTCGAAAGTGTTTGGATTCCGAAAATGACATCTGTCAGTCTGCTTCAGAAATATACTATGTAGCCGGATCTTCTGACTGCGTAGTGGCATTGTTCCTTAATCAAGAGGAGCAGATACGTAAGCAGTGTACGCGACGCATTACTATTGCCCGGCAACCCAGACACCATGTGGCGTACCTCACTAACGGTCATTGGCTAATATCTCCCCAAAAGCCGTTTCGCCTGACAATCACGTGCCAATCTCGTGGTATCTTGCCGCAGGTTCATGATGAACTTCAGATTTCCATCCAACAAGTCATAACACTCACTTCCGGATGTGCGGCCCACTCCAGCGAATTCTCACTACCAACCTTCTACCACCATGATTCCCGTGTCAACTGTACATATGTACGTTTGTGCGTATGTGCGTATGTGCGTATGTGCGTATGTGCGTGTGTGAGTATGTACGTATGTACGTATGTACGTATGTACGTATGTACGTATGTACGTATGTACGTATGTACGTA